TGAGAAACCATAGAGAGTTGGCTGGCTGAGAGACTTACCTGCCACCACCAGCACCTGTGTCCTGCTCCTGCCGCTGCCTGACAACACCTGAGACACCTGCCACCACCAGCACCTGTGTCCTCATCCTGCCGCTGCCTGACAACACCTGAGACACCTGCCACCACCAGCACCTGTGTCCTCCTCCTGCCGCTGCCTGACAACACCTGAGACACCTGCCACCACCAGCACCTGTGTCCTCCTCCTGCCGCTGCCTTACCTGCCACCACCACACCTGTGACACCTCAGCACCTGTGCTCCTGCCGCTGCCTGACAACACCTGAGACACCTGCCACCACAGCACCTGTGTCCCACCTGACAACACCTGAGACACCTGACACCACCAGCACCTGTGTCCATCCTGCCGCTGCCTGACAACACCTGAGACACCTGCCACCACCCACCTGTGTCCCATCCTGCCGCTGCCTGACAACACCTGAGACACCTGCCACCACCAGTCCTCCTCCTGCCGCTGCCTGACAACACCTGAGACACCTGCCACCACCAGCACCTGTGTCCTCCTCCTGCCGCTGCCTGACAACACCTGAGACACCTGCCACCACCAGCACCTGTGTCCTCCTCCTGCCGCTGCCTGACAACACCTGAGACACCTGCCACCACCAGCACCTGTGTCCTCCTCCTGCCGCTGCCTGACAACACCTGAGACACCTGCCACCACTCTCATGACTTCGTATAGGAAGGAGGGGGCGGGGGGGTGCCCCCAAAATGCTCTTTTTTAAGGAACAAATGCTTCCCGATTATTGTTTTTATAAAGAAAAATGCTCCATGAAACCTTAATGAAAATGCTCCACTATGTCTTCTCGTCACCGCCGCGTCAATGCTCCAGAGACAAATTGCCACAAAAGAATGTTCTAATTAAGAATAGTGTCCTTAGATGTTTTACTTTTATGCTGAGGTAAAATGCTGAGGAAATATCCTAATGTAAGACAAAAATGCTTTAATATTTTAAGTTTTATACATGGGAAAAATATCTGTCTGTCTGTCTGTCTGTCTGTCTGTCTCTCCCGTCACCTGTCACACACGCATGACTTGTCTCTGTTATTATGCTCATGAGGTTTATCCCTTAATATTAAATCCCCCCCCCCACCTACCGATCCCCCCTCCCCCTCCCCCTCTTTCCTCCGCCGTACCCTTACAAAATACCCTGATGAAAATAGTATCCACTCCTTAATAATCCCTCATTAGCCTTAAGCCTTTCCCCAGGCCATAAGGATTACTGAACTAGACTCTAAGATACCATTACGACCTCTACAGCACCTCAGGGTCAGATGGGGGCGATACACGGCTACACCACAGCCAAATTTTAATAGCTGGAAGAGGATGATGATTGCTTGTACACCGGTATTATGATCATGTGTAATGAGTGTGGTAACTTTCTGTGTTGTGTTGTGTTGTGTTGTGTTGTGATGTGTTGTGTTGTGTTGTGGTGTGTTGTGCTGTGCTGTGCTGTGTTGTGTTGTATTGTGTTGGGTTGTGTTGTGTTGTGCTGTGCTGTGCTGTGTTGTGCTGTGCTGTGCTGTGTTGTGTTGTGATACATAGGTGTATTGGTGTGATAATTAGAACTTAGAGAGAGAGAGAGAGAGAGAGAGAGAGAGAGAGAGAGAGAGAGAGAGAGAGAGAGAGAGAAATAACCATTCCATTTCCTCTAGACAGACAGACAGAATTTGACGAGAATAAGTTTAGCCCCAAAGAAGTTCTGAATCACAGGTAAATCAATGGGGTTGAGGGCAAGAAGGGTGTAACTTCGCCCTCGTGTGTATAAATCAACTCAGGTGTTGAATTATTGAGTTACCTGTTCTGTAAATCACTCTCCGGGGCCACTGGTCTCATTGTCGTTCTCTCTGTCTGTCTGTGTCTGTTTGTGTGTGTGTGTGTGTGTGTGTGTGTGTGTGTCTTTTTTCTCTCTTTTTCTTTAATTCTTTCTCTCTCTTTCTCTTTTTCTCTCTCTTTGTGTATATACTGGTACAGATAAAATTACAAAAACACAAGTTAAAACATACAACACCACAACCATTCACAATATCACGATAAATTTATACACTCTAAAATATGTATTCACAACAGTAAGGTCAGATTTCGTGTTGTTTTTACTAATATATATAAATTTCGATATAATTTTAGTTTTCACTTTATGGTATGTTGTGGTAGAGCTTCAAAAATGTCAGAGGTATTTTATAATTATTGTTTTTTGCGGGTTTTTTGTGATAATTATATTTTTAGGGGATCGTGTTGAGTTTAATGTAATCTAGCACTGATGATATTTGATCTGTGGTAGGGGTGTGGTAGGGGTGTGGTAGGGGTGTGGTAGGGGTGTGGTAGGGGTGTGGTTGGGGTGTATGAGGGGTGTGGTAGAGGTGTGGTAGGGGTGTATGAGGGGTGTGGTAATACTATAATCTATGTTTTAGCTTGTTGTTGTGTTGTTAACTTGTTGTTGTGTTAACTTGTTGTTGTGTTGTTAACTTGTTGTGTGTTGTTAACTTGTTGTTGTGTTGTTAACTTGTTGCTGTGTTGTTAACTTGTTGCTGTGTTGTTAACTTGTTGCTGTGTTGTTAACTTGTTGTTGTGTTGTTAACTTGTTGTTGTGTTGTTAACTTGTTGTTGTGTTGTTAACTTGTTGCTGTGTTGTTAACTTGTTGTTGTGTTGTTAACTTGTTGTTGTGTTGTTAACTTGTTGCTGTGTTGTTAACTTGTTGCTGTGTTGTTAACTTGTTGTTGTGTTGTTAACTTGTTGTTGTGTTGTTAACTTGTTGTTGTGTTGTTAACTTGTTGTTGTGTTGTTAACTTGTTGTTGTGTTGTTAACTTGTTGTTGTGTTGTTAACTTGTTGTTGTGTTGTTAACTTGTTGTTGTGTTGTTAGCCCATTCATGTTTTGTCTCTGACCTTGACTTAGTATATGTGTGTTGTGTAGTTATCAGTCTGTCTGTCTGTCTGTCTATCAGGACTCAGACACAACTGGAATATTTGAAAAGGTTAACCCGATACCACGACCACAGTGAGCCAAGTGTCTTCGATGTAACGGGTCCTCGATGTAACGGACCCTCGATGTAACGGACCCTCGATGTAACGGACCCTCGATGTAACGGACCCTCGATGTAACGGACCCTCGATGTAACGGACCCTCGATGTAACGGACCCTCGATGTAACGGACCCTTGATATAACGGACCCTCGATATAATTGTTCTTACCTCTCCAAATAGTCCGTTAAATCGAGGTTTTTCGCTGTAGTTTGATGTTTTGCTGCTAGCGTGTCCCCTTGTCATTACTTAAAGTACAAGAATACGTTTAGGGTTTATAAACATTATCAGGATTATGCTTAACTTGTGACTCTTAATAGTGAAGAGATATGTTGGTTGAGGTGAGACCATGTCAGGTATAACGTAATTAAGGTGAGATCATGTCAGGTATAACAGATCGTCCCTCCAACTAATTATTAAACTCACTCACTTGTATAAACCACTAATATACTTCACACAAAACTCATTAACTCTTTTAAGAATTTTGATTCATGTATGTATTTATGTCTAAGTAATGTATAATGTATAATGTATAGTCTTATTCATTTATTTATTCATATACTGGGGCTTATATGTGTCATTGTACCTGACGTTTCCACCCAAGACTGTTCTTTAATGGTACAGCCTCAGTTGTTCATTGTTCCAGAGTATCAGGTGTGTTCTGTGTTAGGGAGTGTTCAGTGGACAAATAACTCTCTCTCTCTCTCTCTCTCTCTCTCTCTCTCACTTGGTCCATTCCAGTGATTAATTCCTGCCATCAATAACGCCCACCCACCCACCTATCATCACTACTACTGCTCTCACCAGCCAACCAACCAGCCAATTGCCTTTTACTTCTCCTTCCCACGATAATAATAATAATAATAATACCAATAATATTAATAATAATAATAATGATAATAATAATACCAATAATAATAATACCAATAATAATAATAATAATAATAATAATAATAATAATAATGATAATAATATTAATAATAATAATAATAATAATAATAATAATAATAATAATAATAATAATAATAATAATAATAATAATAATAATAATAATAATAATAATAATTATTTTACCTGGACATAATTCCCACACAGTCAGCCGCCATGTTGGGAATGTATTACCGAATTCCCAAAGGGCCAAGTTGGTCTTCAGTAATAGGTCCATCTATTAACCACTAATTAAAAAGAATCTTCAACAGGTAAATAGCCAAGTAATTTGTCTACCAATTCCAATTTGCCACTCTAGGAATATTCCCGAATTCCCAAAGGAGGTTTATTACCGGTGTTATTGTGTAGAGGTATATTATCTTCCTGTCTTGTTGTGTTATCCATCCGTGTTAGGTTAACGTCAGGGTGGTTAATCTTCAGGTGAAATACGCTGGGTGGAGATACTTAAGGTGATATTTTTCCCCATGAGCTCCTCTTGGACTAGGAATCATCCCCATATCAATAAAAAATTCCCGAAATTCCCAGTCAGAACTTATACGCCATCGGTGTTGTCCAAAGACTCCACAGTCATGAACGCTGAGAGTCACGACAAATACCCGGGATACAAGTATATTTTCCTGCTCGCTGTGCCAGACTTGGAATCAGTTCCCATGTTTGGAATATATTCCCGAATTCCCAGCGGCCTACGTGGCAGCGAGCAACAGGTGAGGTGGTGGAGGTGGCGGGAAGACTTTCCCTCTGACATTCGTTCACCAACTGCTCTCATATTTCACTATTTAATCCCTTATAAACACGTACTTTGATGTCAGTAGTACAGACACAGGCGTTATAATGTATTGATAAAGATATAATTGCCATTTATACACAGGTAATGTCACAGGTGATCAATTTATCAATACATGGTCGTGTGTGTGGCAGCGGGAAGGGCGGCTACCTGTCGGCTCCTCCTGTAGGGTAGGTTGTCGTACCGAGGGGTGGTGGGTGTTGTGTTGGGGCCGTGAGTGTGGCTGGTGTAGGTGGACACAGGCGGCCGCTACACCCTCTCTTACACTCACATAATTCACCCCTTTATTAACACCTTATTACCTCGGCTGTATTAAATAATCACAACATCATCCCGGACAATAATTCTCTATAATCAGTAATTAATGTTACCGACTTGTATTGTGGATAATTATAACTATTACACATAATTACGGCTGAAATTTTAAAACCCTTGACCGTGAAACTACAAAAAACTAGACGAAGAAAATAAAACTAAAACACAAATTGGACAAACTTAAGAGAGAAATAAATCGTGTAAAAACAAAATTAAATCGAGAAAGTAAATTTAAGATGTTTCCCAAGCGACGAAATTATGAGACTTGAGAAGAAGTGATTATTGTGTGTAACTGTGTAATAACTAAAGGCACAGGTGGTGTGTGTGTGTGTGGGGACCTCGTACACATATACATACACAATATATATATATACATACATACATACACACGGACAGTCAGCATCACTACACGCAGCAAGATATTGGCATCGTGAACAGCTGATGCGAAAACTCGATTTATAAGGTAAGATTATTATTATTATTATTACTATTGTTGTTATACATACATACATACATACATACATACATACATACATACATACATACATACATACATACATACATACATATTGACATATTCCAAAAATGCTAATGAAAAAAATATTTAAAACTTCTCTGTCTGTCCGTCTGTCTGTCTGTCTGTCCGTCTGTCTGTCTGTCCGTTTGTCTGCCTGTATATGTGTCTCTGTGTCTTTCTCTCTATCTGTCTCACTGTGTCTGCATATCTGTCTGTGCCTCTGTCCCTTTCTGTCTTTCGCTACCAGCAACTTTTGGAGCTTCTATTACTTGTATCCATCTATCCATCTTTCCCTATCCACTTTACTCTCAGATTAACTTAATTCTCTCTCTCTATCTTTATTTCACGTTATCTCTCTCTCCTCCCTAGTTAGCAATCAGTTAATGTTCTTAAATCCTCGCGGTGAATACATCTCGATACGACATGACAGTCGAATTTGTCGCGCGCGTGTGTGTGTGTATGTTAGGAATCAATTCAAGGTTCTGATTGTCTTAAATAATGATTGTTGAGGTTCTGATTGTCTTAAGGAATGATTGTCGAGGTTCTGATTGTCTTAAATAATGATTGTTGAGGTTCTGATTGTCTTAAGAAATGATTGTTGGGGTTCTGATTGTCTTAAGAAATGATTGTTGATCTTCTGGTTGTCTTAAATAATGATTGTTGAGGTTATGATTGTCTTACGGAATGATTGTCAAGGTTCTGATTGTCTTAAATAATGATTTTTGAGGTTCTGATTGTCTTAAGGAATGATGTCGAGGTTCTGATTGTCTTAAGGAATGATTGTTGAGGTTCTGATTATCTTAAGGAATGATTGTCGAGGTTCTGATTGTCCTAAGAAATGATTGTTGAGGTTCTGATTCTCATAAGGAACGATTGTTGTGGTTCTGATTGTCTTGAAGAATAATTGTCGAGGTTCTGATTGTCTTAAGGAATGATTGTAAAGGTTCTGATTGTCTAAATTAATTATTATAGAGATTCTGACTGGCTAAAGGAATGATTGTCCGGGTTCTGAGTGCTTGAGATAGTCATTTTAGTGATGGGTAGATCTGAACGTACAGAGAAACACTGATTGGCAACCCGAGTCTAAAACATATCTCTTAATAACAACATTTAATTACCTACCAATTATATTTCAATTTACCTTTAATTTGCATAATTGGGTTAATTATTTTTATTTTATTTTGCTGATAATTATTTTGTAATGAATTCTACTTATGTTTATTTACTTATTTTCGTGTATATTTATGTATATTATCCACGTATTCTGAGTTTATTGGTGTATAATTTCTATTTATTCATTATTATATTAGTAAAGGCTCACAATATTTGCACATACGAGATATTTAAATGTTTCTGGAAGTAATATAGTGCGTTTCCACCCAGCCAGCCAGCGAGGTCTTAACTAAAATTGCACATAGGGTCGGAAATCGTATCTTGTTCATACAGTGAGTTGAGGCGTCCAGTTCCCCATCAGTGTGTAAAGCCGATTTTGATAGTGTTGTAACAGAGAGAGGATACTGTTGCCGGGGACTGTTAGGATACTGTTGCCGGGGACTGTTAGGATACTGTTGCCGGGGACTGTTAGGATACTGTTGCCGGGGACTGTTAGGATGCTGTTAGGACCTGTTAGTACACGAGGACTGCTGGGGTCTGTTTTTGGACACTGCTAGGATACGGACACTGCTAGGACACTGCTAGGACACTGCTAGGACACGGACACTGCTAGGACACGGATACTGCTAGGACACGGATACTGCTAGGACACTGCTAGGACACTGCTAGGACACTGCTAGACACTGCTAGGACACGGACACTGGGCAGACATCGACACCAAGAGACACTGCTAGACACGGACACTGCTAAGACACGGACACTGCTAGGACACGGACACTGCTAGGACACTGCTAGGACACTTGTTTGACTCAGCTATATATAAACACAACCTTTTTATCCCTATGCCCTTTATTGGCAGCTGTACAAGTCATAGGGTGTCACTCAGTCATTAGGGTGTCACTCAGTCATTAGGGTGTCACTCAGTCATTAGGGTGTCACTCAGTCATTAGGGGTGTCACTCAGTCATTAGGGTGTCACTCAGTCATTAGGGGTGTCACTCAGTCATTAGGGTGTCACTCAGTCATTAGGGTGTCACTCAGTCATTAGGGTGTCACTCAGTCATTAGGGTGTCACTCAGTCATTAGGGTGTCACTCAGTCATTAGGGTGCTCGTCATTAGGGTGTCACTCAGTCATAGGGTGTCACCAGTCATTAGGGTGTCACTCAGTCATAGTGCCTCATTAGGCGTCAATCAGTCATTAGGGCGTCACTCAGTCATTAGGGTGTCACTCAGTCATTAGGGTGTCACTCAGTCATTAGGGTGTCACTCAGTCATTAGGGTGTCACTCAGTCATTAGGGTGTCACTCAGTCATAGGTGTCACTCAGTCATTAGGGTGTCACTCAGTCATTAGGGTGTCACTCAGTCATTAGGGTGTCACCTCAGTCATTAGGTGTCACTCAGTCATAGGGTGTCACCAGTCATAGGTGTCACTCGTCATTAGGGTGTCACTCAGTCATTAGGGTGTCACTCAGTCATTAGGGTGTCAGTCATTAGGGTGTCACCAGTCATTAGGGTGTCACCAGTCATTAGGGTGTCACTCAGTCATTAGGGTGTCACTCAGTCATTAGGGTGTCACTCAGTCATTAGGGGTGTCACTCAGTCATTAGGGTGTCACTCAGTCATTAGGGTGTCACCAGTCATTAGGGTGTCACTCAGTCATTAGTGTCACTCATCATGGTCATTAGGTGTCACTCAGTCATTGGGTGTCACTCAGTCATTAGGGTGTCACTCAGTCATTAGGGTGTCACTCAGTCATTGTCTTTAGTTACAAGATAAAAAGCTAAATTGTATCTTGGTAAAATACTTATGAATTATGTATGTTAAATTGAAGGGTTAAAATGAGTGTGGTTAAATGTGGTGATTGGTCTTGTTGATGTAGGTATTGACCACTGTGGGGTGTGTGTGTGTGTGTGTGTGTGTGTGTGTGTGTGTGTGTGTGTGTGTGGCGTGTCTGTGTGTGTGTGTGTGTGGTGCGTGTGTGTGCGTGTGTGTGTGTGTGTGTGTGTGTGTGTGGTGTGTGTGTGTGTGTGTGTCTGTATGTGTGTGTGGGTGTGTGGGTGTGTGTGTGTGTGGGTGTGTGTTATATATGGAAACACTTTCACCACTTGACCTGATGTGTTTGCTCGCCAATAATTTATTTTCGGTAAATAAATAAATAAATAAACAAATAAATTAGTATGTCACACTTACCTGTTTTATTTATCAAACACAATAAACTTTAAATAGAACCTAATTTATATCTATTTATTCTCTAACACGTATAGTGCTTCAATAACAACAATAGCGATGTGTGTGTCTGTACTTATGTTTGTCAACGTTAACCAAGGTTGATTTATTTAGAGAGGTGTGGGGAGGTGGGGTGTGGGGGGTGTGTGGTGAGGGGGTGTTGGTGGGGTGTGTGAGGGGTGTTGGTGTGTTGACGAGTGTACTATGATAATACAATAACATATTTATCGTGTATGAATTCATTAACGTTACTCTAAATAAATACTGTATCGAAATGTATTACAGGATTGAGAAAAAAATACCACAGGCCCGGTGCATTACGATACATTATGTAATACTGGAAAATACAGTTTTACCTCACAATACTCTATTAATTATTCTGTCAAACTAAAAAACAATTTTATCTCTCTAAGCCAAGGATAAGTATGGAAAAAATATGATAGTTATATTGGTATTGTGGTTATGATATAAACAATAGAATATACCTAAATATACACATACAACCATATATGCACACAAAACATACTTACATACAGTACACACACACACACACACACACACACATACACCCATGGCTTCTACCCCTTCCCTTACCCTCCCTTCACACCTTCCCCTTCTTCCCCCTCCCCTTCCCAACAGACGTCAGAGGCGGTAATCCCACAGTCAGAGCCCAGGGTTAATTACCATATTGCCACACAGCTACACACAGCGCCCTCACACATCAAAGAGCCATATTATAACATTTTCTGAGACGTTCACAGCTTATTAAATTTTTATATCAGACAGTATGATAGATATATGACTTAAGAGTATGATATATGACTTAAGAGTATGATATATGACTTAAGAGTATGATATATGTCTTAAGAACATGATAGATATGTAAACAGTATGATAATTATGTTGAATTATGTAAATATGTATGATTGATATAGTTGATTATGTAAGAGAGTATAATTGGAAGATTATATGGAATTATGTGAAGTATTATAGAGAGTTACCGTTTATATTAGTAATTAATTCAGGGAAGGAATTGCCGTAGAGAGCTTACGTAAGGCTAGGTTGGGTTAGGTTAGGTTAGGTTAGATTAATGAATACGACTTTCCTAAAATTAAAAGCCGATATATAAATTATTTTTTGGGTGACAAACTTAGTCATTACATTTATTGAAGATTAAAGATATATTGCAATTTTAATTACTTTGGTGGGGACTGTATTTTATTTTGAGTCGTCCAAAAATTAAAAAAATCCTCATGTTGGATAAAGAACGTAATTTATTTCATCAGTTTGTTGGTTTACTGAAATAAAATACATACTGTGATAGGAGAGAGATGATATGATAGAATGATCCTTGGTTTATTTTGGTTTAATTTATTTATGTTTTGGTTTAATATTTATGTTTTGGTTTATTTTTGAATATTTTCGTTTATATTTTTATTTGGTTTATTTATATTTTGGTTTATTTTTCGCCACCAACAACTGCGTAAACCACAAACAATAATAATAAAACCGAACGTCTTCAAGTTGTGGAATATTTATTTTAATAATAGTAAATGACACGTTGTTATTTAAAGAGAATGGGAGATTCGTTTTCTATTTCTCCCGA